GTACCAAACGGCGCCCTGTTCAATTACGCCGATTCCAAAATCCGAATCACCGAGCAATCAAGGAAGCTGCAAACTCCCTGTCTTCTTCCTTCCTCACTTGGCTATTTAAGGACAACCCAACTCCCTCATTTCATCACCAAAACAACTCATTCTTCCTTCTATATTGTTCCTTGCTGAGAGTGGAGTGCAGTGGTGCTGTCATCTTTGTGTGAGGTCGCCGGAGCAGTGAGATAGAGTCGCCGGCAGTTTTGTCGGAAAATATTCAAAACCTTCATTTACCTTCGATGTAAGCCCGTAGATAAATGACTAGAATGTTCATATAGGTCGTTTCTACGTTCATAAACGGTCATTTGGTTGAGTTTTGTGTTTGACATGTTTGAAGAACCAAGAATCATAAACCTTGAATTTGATGTTAAAAATATGTTTTAATAATTCTAATATGATCTATGAACCTTGGAGAACATCTCTATATAGTTTAATTAAAGTTCGGTGACTAAAAATGGTTTTCCCGAAAAATGGACCGAGGTTGAAGATGAATGAACAGTGGCGGAAAATCCACAGAGTGGATCGATCCCCTTCATTGGATCGATCCTCTGGGAGTTTGTCTTCTAGTTGGATCGATCCAGAGGGCTGGATCGATCCTCTAAAACTCTGGTCTGAAAATTTGTCTGAAATTGCTATTTTTGAGCTCTAAAATCTTATTTTTGATACCAATTGATTATGATTATTATAAAAATGATTTTTCACAACAAAAATGATGTCTTTAACAAATTAAAACATTATGTGATGCATGACAGTAAGTTCGGGTGTTAACACTCGAGACTAGGCCGCTAATTGTTATTAGATGTTATGTTGAATGATCATTATGATGAACTATTATTGTGGCCAATTTTGAATGATTAACCTACTAATTAGTATGATTATTGATTAAATCATGATTAAAAATGGATATAACGATTTTGAAAATGATGTATATTGTTAAGGATATCTAGAAGAACTCTAAGATATACCCACTTGTATAATGATGATGATTATTAAGGATATCTAGAAGAACTCTAAGATATACCTCCTTGACCAATTCATATTTCGGGGTTAAAACGTATGTACGGGATCCAGAACGGATATCACCCACCCGGCAGTTCACTGTTCGGTTGGTACGTAATCCACATGACTCATAGGGTGGATTATCGATTCTTGTGTTCTGCATTAAACTATTTATAGTTTAAGGGCCTGGTTAGAAATGTTGCCTTAGACTAGGAATAGTTAAGAGTTGTTATGAAATGATTTGGCCTTAGATTAAGAATAATTTAAGAGCATTGTTGAGATATTGAATATCAAATGACTTGGAATAAAATATTGAGAATATCATGAATGTTTGAATTATATATTGTGTGCATGATATCAAATGGTTGATTATGAATCGAGATTCAATTTATGTGGATGTTCGACGCTTTAGATATGCTTACTCAGCTTCACCGCTGAGCGTGTAGTGTGTTTTATTTGCTACACGCAGGTAAACAGAAAGATTAATGTGATCCTGGCGGCAGATGGGGCGAGATTGTCGGGATGGATGTGACAAGTTTTGAAATGATTTATGATATGTCAATATTAAATTCGCTTCCGCAATATTGTTAAATACTCTGTACTATATATGTTATGAAAAATATTATTGAGATTAATAAAGTGTGTTTGAAAAGTTTTAAATTCTACGATTACCAAGTTAAATACTTTAGTCCGAATGGGGCTGCAGACCTGGACGGATTAGGGTGTTACAATGGTATGAAAGATTTAAACTAAAAAAAGACTACCCGTCATGTCCGGAAAAGATGACCAGTACAAAATTTAGACATACCAGTCAGAGTGCGTAACTTCAAGTTTGTGGTTTTCTGCTCCTTCAGAACACAGACGAGAGGTAAACCTACCGGGTAGGTTACTACGTTGTAAAACTAAAGTGTCGGTACGGATAAATCTATGGTCATTTGGACAGTAGTGACCGATTTTCAACGAACGATTGAGGAAATATTCCCTCAATCTCAGTTGGGCGCTAAGTGCTGAAGGAGGACTCTTCAGCACAAGATGACAAGGCAATGGGACTAAATGCTACGGGACAAAAGGAAGCTACCTCGCGCTATCTGAGAACGTGGGTCGATGTGGACGCGTGGCGCTCTGTCCCCTCCTTTTCCTTGTAAATACCTATATAACCCCCAAATGAATGAGGGGAATTTCATCTCTCTAGAATTCGTATTGTAATAACTCCCGTTACTTTCTTGCATACTTAATAACAATGGGATTACAGGTGTTTTCCACCTACAGTCCTACCGATCTTTCTTTGTTCGCTTACACCTTTCGTTCTATCCTAGAGCCGGTCTAGTACAGTTCGTCCGGTGGTTAATTTACACCATCAGTTAGGTTGCATAGTTGATACATATTTAAGTAAATGTAGAATATGTATTATTGAACTTTGTTTGGTAGCATGCATTATTTGAGTAACTATAAGCTATAATCAATAACGAAATGTACATACTTTCTCTTAGGGTTCCAAAAATCTGGATATCTTGTGCAGTATGCACATGTCTGATGCCCCTGCATTGCTGGTACTCCTTCCGTCTAAAAAAACCCCTTATTTTCATTTTGGGACGTCCTAAAAAAAGTTTTATTTTTTCTTTTATTGAAAAATTATGAGTAGTTCACAATTTTTTTCTCTTCTACATCACTTTTTCTTAAATTTTATGACTAGAGAGCTTTTTTTGGGGTGGAGGGAGTATAAGCTAAGATAGGAGCTCCCGAGTGGGTAGAATATCTTATCTTGTCTTGTTTCAATAACAATATCTTGTCTCAATTACTATGGTCATTGTTTCTCCGTGTTAGACGCTACAAAAGCATTTAATGAAGCATAAATATATACTCACTGCATTAAAGAAAACATATTTGTCTTTAACGCATTTTGATTCATTCCTACATTTTAGAGCTTTATTTAAATATGTGTGAAATTAATTAATGAAATTAAACCATAAAAAACAACTACTCCCTCTTTAGTACAGTCGAAAGATAACATCCATTCCAACTGTTGAAGTTAGGTGGTGCATGTGTTATGAATTCTAGCTGACTAAACATTATAATCGATCTGCATTAAACGAACTTTGAATTTCTACCCACATTTCATTTATTAATTATCCTTCAAAATCAAGAGAGAGATTAGATCGAGAGAGAGGTTTGGACATGCATGCATGCACTAGCTAGCTAGAAGAAGACGACATTAATAAACAAATAAAGCAATTCAATCATCACATGCTACTAATTAATTAGCAGAATGTTTTCTGGATTTGTTGAGCCAGTTCCTCCGCACTCAGTTGGCATTCAATTCCAATCTAAAAAATAAACACAAAAAAATAGCAATTTCGTTAGATATATATATATATATATATATATATATACTAATTAATTTTGTACTCCCTAAGTCCCAAAAAGTTTGTTACGTTTAGAAAAAACTATGTCCCGTAAAGTCCGTTACATTTCTATTAAAAAACCACTTTTACCCCTTATTTTTTCATACCATACCTATCACATCATACCTTTTTTCTAATAATCTACCCATCACATCAAGGGTATTTTTGAAAAATCAATACCAAAATATCACTCCCTTAATTTCCCAAAAAGTCAAACCGTCCCATTCTTTTTGGGACGGAGGGAGTAGTTAACGCATAATAATTTGTAATAGCTAGTGACCAAAATTTTACATTCATTAAAACTAAAAGTAGTCAAACACAAACAAATATCTTATCAAAAAAGGAAATAAGCATTTATTTTAGAATAAATCCAAGAAAATACCTTAGGTGTTTATTTTGAGGCGAAGGTAAAAAAATTAGGATACCCTAACCAACATTTTATGTCTTTCATTCCATTCTTTCTATCTAAAACAAAACAAAAGACAAAAAAATAAACTCGCGGTAAAGAGATAGATCATGTTATAATTTTATTCCAAACAAATCAAATTAATTTCAGTTGCTTTATTTTACTTTGTTCCAAAACAAGGATACATCAAATGGGAGCCAGGGAGTGTCATGTCTTGCATGTTTTGACGACTCGTGCATTAATGATCAAAGTGGTTGCCGTACGAAGAGTGTTGAATTGAATTCCCACAGTAAAAGTAAGTTGGAAATAGTTGTCCTAGTTTTCAGTGAGAAAGTACTGGCAGCTTACATTTACATGCATTGCAACGGTCACTGCAGACACCTAGTACATCACGCGCATTATATTCCTTCTAGGAGATGTGTTAGGTGTATTCTAAATAGAAAAATTTACACTAAATAACACTAAAATTTAATTCATTTTCTTAAATAGTATTTAAATTATTTTTATTCTCTAAATATCATTTAATAATGTCTAGTGATAACGTATATTTACTTGAATAATGACTAAAAGTGCTACATTGGGAATAAAAACACATGTAGTGCCATTTAGTGCCATTTAGAGAAAGTCATTATATTTTAGTGTTATTTAAGCGGGGGAGGGGGGAAGTTTTCTCCTTAGCTTAATATCTATTCCCTATGCAAAACTATTTTGAGTACATCACATTATACCTCAAGTTATATATGGTCCCTCCTATTATCAGACTACTTTTATCTCGTAAAATTTTTCAACTTTTCAACTTTCATATTTGACTTATCCCATAATATTTCAAATAGGATATTAATTCAATATTTTCAATGAGTTGTGAGAGAGCGTTTCTAGAGAAATCTAGAAGTCGATAGAGATTTGTAGAATTTTCTAAGATGTTGTAGAATTTTTTAGAGAATTGTAGAAGTCTTTAGAATTATATAGAAAAGTCTAGAGTATTTTATAGTTTTCTAGAGAAGTGTGGAATTTATGTCCTTTAGAATATTCTAGAACTATGTGAAGTCCTCTAGATTCTTCTAGAACATTAATTATGAAAGCGTGTAGAGACTTTTTAGAAGTATCTAAAAATGTAGAGATGTATGGAGTATATTAGAGAAGCTTGTGATGAGTATAAATAGGGGTGTGGCCAGAGTAAAATTTTTCATTGTTTAAAATTTTAAAGGCAAAATTCACAAGAACACTCCCAGAAATTAGAGATTTTACATAAATACTCCCAAATTTATTTATTTACACCATTACTCCCACATTTCTCGTTTATTTACGTCGTTACTCCGCGATTGCTTCATCATCAGTGTTTCTCGGGTGCCTCTTTTTGTACGGGGTTTTTCATCTTTTTTATTGAATTCAAATTAAATTAATATGAACAGACTTGATATTAAACATTAAAAAGATTTAAGAAGTTTGAAATCTCAATTTTTTTAAAAGTGATGGGAAATAAGGGCAATAATTAGGTTTACTAAGACGTGAGAAAGACGATGGAGAGAATAATTAGTTGAAGTGAATTTAGTATATTGGAGTGGAAAAAATACATGTCTGCATTTTAACTGTTCACTTAACGCAAAAATGACACATTCAAGTAACACTAATGATCACTACCAAATTTGAGAGTAACAACGTAAATAAAAGAGAAATGTGGGAGTAATGATGTGAATAAACAAATTTGGGAGTATTTATGTAAAATCTGTAATTTCTGGGAGTATTCTTATCAATTTTGCTAATTTTAAAATACTCCCTATCATTAGAGGTGTTGACCAGAGGTTTAACAACCTTAAAAGGCATATTTGCTTGAGGAGAAGGGAGAAGGAAGTAAGGGGAGAAAGAGAAATAAGTAATTAAGTATGAAATATACGTACGGAGTAAATATTTTCATTGTTTAGTCAGGAAAAATTAAGAAGGAAATGAGAAGAAATGAAAATAATGTAGGAAGAGAGTAAAAAAATCCTCCATTTGTGGAGTGAAAGGAGTTGTTTATTTTATTTTTAGGGAAAATTTATCTGTATAGTTGTTAAAACATAGTGACTTTCTCGATCAATCTAGTATCATATATTTTGATTTTCTAATTAGCACTATTACTCAATGTCCTCTAAACATTCTTCAAGTAAATGTTCATCGCTACTAGACATTGTTCATAGTAAATATCTACCGCAACTGAACATTATTTCCATCACCGGATATTGTTCAAAAACTATTTAGGGAATAAAAAGTTTTAGGCACTACATTTGAAAAATAAATTTATCTTAATACTATATTTAGTGTAAATTTTACTTATTTTTAACGTACCATTCATTCTTTCTCACCTTTTTTAGAGTCTCACACCTACGCCTCCCTTCGTCCTAAAATGTTTGTCACATTTGTTTTTTCAACAGTCACGAGAACTTTTGTTTATTTGTATAGTATGTTTAATTGCCTATTTGATAAAATAAAATATTTTTGATACATCTTATTTTGAAAATTTTTTTATGTAGTTTTTGAATATGTAAATTTTATCTTTTATTTTTATACCAATATTTTACCTCGTTTTTAAAATGTGGTAAACATTTATAGATGAGGGGAGTATTTGGCACTTGACTGCCTTTATTGGCGCTCGTGGCCTCCATTAATAATTTTAAAATGACTATAATTCTCTAAATAATATAACTAGTTTATTTAATCTTTAATCTTTTTAATTATGCCGTCTCCTGCTCATTTTTCTTCTGGTTTTAACTTTGATAATGAATTATGGTAAAAATATATTGAATTGTAAAATAAATTTAATATCAATAGATTCATTTCGACTAATTTTAAAATATCAAATTTTAATAATCTATAAATTTTAATAAATCATCACAACTAGGAGTAAAACATACTCCATTCGTTCTCAAAATCACTTTCTCTTTCATTTTTTTTCATTTCCAACAAAACACTTCTACTTTCTATTAAAAAACCACTTTTACCCTTACTTTTTCATACCCTACATATCACATCATACTTTTTCTCTAATAATCTACCCATCACATTTTACTTTTACCTATCACATCAAGGATAAAATTGGAAGTCAACTACTCCCTCCGTTTCTTAAAACCCTTCCTCTTTCATTTTTTTTGTTTTTCTTAAAACACTTCCCCTTTCTATTAAAAAACCACTTTTACCCCTACTTTTTCATACCCTACCTATCACATCATACTTTTTCACTATCAATTAAACTATCACATCTTACTTTTACCCATCACATCAAGAGCAAAATTGGAAAGTCAACTATAATTTAACACTTCCTTATTTTTCCCCAAAGTCAAAAGAGGAACTGTTTTGAGAAACGGAGGGAGTACAATTTAACACTTCCTTATTTTTCCACTTTTTCAAAGTAGGAACTCTTTTTGAGAACGGAGGGAGTAGCATTTATCCTTAAAGTAGAAATTTCATATTTTTATCCTCAAAATAAAAGTTTGCAGTATGATATTATGACATTGTATAGTAGCATCCCACTGTATTTTTTTGTTCTATATATTGCCTTTATCAACATTGTACTCCTATTTCGAAGATAAAAATATAGGGCTTCTATTTTAATACTTTTTTCATGTCTACTCCTAGTTTAGTCATTTTCCATGAATATATACAAATAAAGATATTAATGGTCTATGTGTTGTATCAGAGACCATGAAAAAAATCAAATGAAAAGAAATAATCCCTCCGTCCCATAAAACCTTTCTCCTTTCTTTTTCCATCCGTCCCATAAAACACTTCTCATTTCTATTAAAAAGTCACTTTTATCCCTTACTTTTTCATACCCTACCTATCACATCATACCTTTTTACTAATAATCTACCCATCAAATTCTACTTTTATCCATCACATCAAAGGACATTTTTGGAAATTCAATACCAAAATACACTCCCTTAAATTTCTTCAAAAAGAAAAATATCCCATGTTTCATGGGACGGATGGAGTATATGAGACATATAATCATATACTCTTAATACATTTGTTTAGTTGAAATTATTTTTATAAAGGGTATAAATTTTATTTCAATGAGGACTTCTTCTTTCCTTAATTTCTTTTTTACCTAAAGGAATTTAACTATTCTTCAATTCTCACCCTGCTACCTCAGCTCCTTCCAATCAAATAAACGGGTTGAATTGCAGTTGAACTTTCACTTCACTCCATTATTTTTATTTGAGATTTTTTAAAACTAAATGTAATTAAAAGCACAAAATATAATTAATTTTAAAACATACAAAAAATAAGAATGAATAAATTAAAAGCACAAAATATAATTAATTTTAAAACATACAAAAAATAAGAAGAATGAATAAATTATATTCTATCCTTTCATAGGCAATCTTTTAATAAAAGATGGAATATTATTAAGGAGTACCTTAATAGTATAGGAGTAAAGGGACGTGGCGTCATTAATGGTGGAGATGCTGACGTGGAGTATCTCGAGGGCCATGTCTTCAAGTGCAGAGATGATCTTCAAAGCTTGGCCCGGAATGCGCGGAGAAACCGTTTTGAGAATCACATTTGACCCAGAAAACTTCACCTCCACGTCAGCAATGTCCGACTTGGACTTCCCCGCGACCTCGTTGCCACGGTCAATGGGACGGGTCAAGGAGGAAGTCGGAGGTGAAGCAACGGGTGTCGGGAATAAAAAACCGGGTGACGGAGATGGTAATAATAACCTTGGACTAGTATTATTATGATTTGTAGGTTTGTACGAAGAAGAAGTAGTAGTGTTTGGTTGGGGTGTTCTTGGGCTAATTGGTGGCAAGCTCAACCTCGGACTCATAGCTGGTTTTCTTGGACTTGTAAGTATCCTCGGACTTGGAATGTTATTGTCGCTGCTATAAACCTTTCTTTGCTTCTTGGCCTCCAAGGATTGAAGTATATGTTGCAACTCATTAATGTAATCCACCACCGCTTCTATTATTGATGCTTGGTCACCCTATTATTCATTAACCATTACAACAGAAAATTATTATTAAGAAATATTTGCACTAAATACCTCTAAAACTTAAGTCATTTCTAAATAACACTTAAATTGTTTTATTTTCTGAATAGCACTTAATAATAATGTCCAGAAGGAGAAATAATGTGTAGTGATGGCGAACATTTACTTGAATAATGACTAATGGATAATGACCAAAAGTGCTACATACGACATACCCTTTTGACATAAAACGCTGGCATGAGAGTGCGGAGCACAGACAAGTGATCATTCATCTGCTTCCTCCGGTTCCTCTCGACGGCGATGTGACAACTCCGAGGCTGTTGTTGCCCGTCATCGGACGACTCATACGCAGAGGCAAAGGGGGCGTTCATCACTTTCTGTCTTTTGCATGTCCTCTGCAGGGAGGACGGCTCCCCCTCCGCCTCGTGCGACTCTTCAACCACGGCGGCAGCCAACGGCGTAGTCTCACGAGAAGTTTCTCCCCCTGGATTAGGGGTTTGGAAATCATCTAGAGACTCAAGGAGGCTAAAGATGTCGTCAGCGGAATCGTCAAAGAAATCAGATAGCACATCACTGCCGCCCTTATCCATCGATATCTATCTATTATTGATGTTGTATGTTGCTTGAGATATGTATGAGTTGGGCTTAATTATTACTAGCTAGTAACAAGTAATTAAAAAGAAGAGGAGAAATAATAAAGTGAAAATATGTGAAGGGGGACCTAGTTCATGACAAATACTTGGGTGGTCGTATATATTTATACATTAGCCCTCTCCGTCCCATGGCAAGTAGTTAAGGGTTTTGAAGGGTTTATAATAAGGGTGGGTAGGTGTGTAGATAGTTAAGTTGTGGGACAATATATGATAAGGCAGATCCCTGCCTAGGCCGGCCGGGGAGGTCTGGGATAGGACGCTTCAACTGAGTGCACTAAAACATAATGACTTTCCCTAAATAGCATTACATGTGTTCTTTTTCCCAATGTAGTACTTTTATTCATTATTCATTAGTCATTATTCAAGTAAATGTTTGTCATCACTGTTATTATATACATTATTAAGTGCTATTTAGACAATAAAATAATTTAAATGCTATTTAGAGAAATGACTTAAGTTTTAGTGCTATTTAGTGCAAATATTTCTTATTTATTGAAAAAGAGTGAACCCATCTAGTATGCTCTCACGTCATATTTACCTGAAAATAGATAAATGAAATTAAAATCTCAAGTGATTGGTAGGATATGAGATATATATGTCACTAGTTCAGACGACAACTTTATGTCCTAAAATGTTGTAAATTTTAGGCATTTTAGATGTCGGTAGAAGTGTTTTATGGGTTGCACAAAAAATGAAACAGGAAAGACTTTTTGGGATGGATGGAGTATGTCGTATAATTTTTTATATAAATTTTAAGCACTGTAATTTGCATTGTAAATAAAATCATTTAAAAAAATTGAGTTTCTAGATTCTTTTAGTTAGACAAAAAAGTATTACTGCACCCGTCCTAAAACTTTCTTCCTAGTTCAGTTTACGAGATTTGACTGAAATTATTTTCAATTCATTTTATTTGATTATAGGTGTAAAATTAAAAATTAAAGTTATATATCTAAAAACTAGTATTTTATCAAGATGTGACGTAAAAATTTTATTTTATCAAATAACTAATAAAAATAGTTAGAAAAAAGTAAATAAAATTTGATTCTGTAAAAAGTGATTGAAAAGAAAGGTTTAAGATGCAAGGAGTACTCTCTATATAGTACTCCCTCCCTTCAATAAAACCCTTTTTCTTTTGTTTTTTTTTTAATTTTTTAAAACACTTCTACTTTCTATTAAAAAATCACTTTTATCCCTATTTTTCATATCTAACCTATCACATCATACTTTTTCACTAATAACCAAACTATCACATCTTACTTTTACCCATCACATCAGGGGCAAAATTGGAAAGTCAACCATAATTACAGTTTTCTTATTTTTACTCAAAGTCAAAATAGGAAATGTTCACGGGAGGGAGTATATACGATAGGTGAGGTGCCTATAGCTTTTTGCCCGTTGAGTTCGGAAGGGCGGCCGGCGGTTTCAAGATTCTGCCAATAGCTTAAGGTGTAAATTTTGTTTGTTGGTTTTTCCTGCTAACCCAATTTATTATCGCCCCTTTCATTAATACTCCGTACTTTCTTAGAGATGGACCCATAAAATTTTCAGAAAATGACGGAAATATATGAAAGAAAGAGACAAATATTCAGGTAAAAAATTGCAAAGGTTTTACAGTAGGCAGTTATTATTCCTTCGGGTTCATGCATGCATGCACATTTAAAGAGAGAGTTAAAGTCTTTTAATGGAAAATTGCTAAGTTTATTTAATCTGCACACGGCTCACCTCCAATGCTTTCAAAACTTGTGTTGCTCCTCCCATTTTTATATGGGTAATTTATCTAAATAGGAATAAAACATAATCATTTTCTCAATATAAGACCATATGTTTTTATTTCTCAATATAGGACCATTGGTCATTATTTATTAGTCATTATTCAATTAAATGTCCAACATCATTTGGACATTATTCTTCCCACTAGTCATTATTAAGTCTTATTTAGGGAATAAAAAAATTTAAGTCGTACATTGAGAAATGACTTATGTTTTAGTCCTATTCAGTGCAAATTTTACTTTTTATATTGCTACGCTAATGCTTCTTAGATTAAAATATCCTTAAAATCTTAAGTGAATCGTTCTAGTGCCTCGTTCTGGTTTTAGAAATGAGCACTAATGCTCCCTCTTTTTTTCTTCTTTATTGTTTCTCTTTTTGCTTCTCTTTTTTAACTTCATAAGTATTTTTTAAGTTCTTTTTTTAATTTTTTTATAATGTTTAAAAAAATTAATGTTTTTTTGTGTTTGAAATAAAAAAAGTTAATGAAATAAAAAGAATTAACGATACATCATTTGCCTCATTTTAAACATTTTTACTTTTTATCCAAATATATTTTGTATTTTTTGTTAACCCATTGGGCCAAAAAATACTAAGTAAGGTCTTTTTGGACCGATGTCCAATTACTCCAATATATTGCTTTCAAGAATTCATTTTCCTTTTTGTATAAAAATGCTTTTTGTACTCCGTATCTTTTTCTTCTTCTCATTTCCTTTTTCTATGAATTTTTTATTATTTTTAATTTTTTATTTTCTATTTACTACTCCCTCCGTCCCATGAAACATGGGACTTTTGCTTTTTAGGAGGGATTTAAGGGGAGTGTATTTTGGTATTGAATTTCCAAAAATGTCCTTTGATGTGATGGGTAAAAGTATGATTTGATGGATAGATTATTAGTAAAAAGGTATGATGTGATAGTTAGGGTATGAAAAAGTAAGGGGTAAAAGTGACTTTTTAATAGAAATGAGAAGTGTTTTGTGGGACGGATAAAAAAAGAAAGGAGAAAGGTTTCATGGGACGGAGGGAGTAGTTTTTTTACATTGAAGCTCTATTGAATATATGTAAGCCCTAGAGGCCAATTTATGATTTCTATCTGAATTATTTCAAGAATATATAAAGGCTCTAAAGATTATATAAATTGTCTCGTGTATTTTAAACATAACTTTAGTCCATAGATTAGTTCTCTAGTAATTTAACATAGATGAGAACTACGACGTTCTGATTATGAGGCTCCTACAAAGATGGAGACTTGATCTAAAATATCCTTAATCGAATATTATGACAATAGGACATCATAATATATTAAGGCTAGTACGTATGACAATAGGACTTGATTTAAAATATCCTTAATTATATTAGTCGAATATTATAGACTAGATCTAAAATTGTTTTTGTTCTCTTAATTCTTTACTCCAAATATTTTATATTTTAATAAATATTCTAGAGAAAACTACTAGCATAATTTCTCTCTAGAACACTAATCAAAGTTCGTGCATGTGTATGCACTAAAGGTCAGAATCTTTTGTGGTTAAGCTCCGGGACTAATCTCTTCAGCCATACATCGCAACTTGCTCAACAAGAACGCTTATAGTTTCCGCTTCTCGATTCAAATTTAGGGCCCGTTTGGGAATAGCGTTAGAGATTAGCGTTAGCGTTTTGGATAAAATTTTAACGGTGCAGATTGCTTTGAAAACGCTAACGCTAAATGCTGTCCGTCGATAGCCTTTTCAAAACGCTAACGCTAATTGCTAAAGCTAATCCCAAACAGGCCCTTAGTTTCTAACAGGCTCATTTCCTATTTTTTCATTTTTTGGTTTTGTTTAATTTCCTTTTCTTTTTATCTATTTTTTCTCGTTCTTCTTTTCATTCTCCGTATATGTTTTTCAAAATTAAAGTAAAATAAAAAAGAAATTAAAAAGAAAAATATATAATAAGATAATTTTATAGAAAGGGAAAATGAAGTCATGAAGGTAATCTTTTGGGTATCAGTTCAAAAAAAGACTTTAATTTAGTTTGTACTCCCTCCGTTCCACAAAACCCTTTCCCTTTCGTTTTTTTGAATTCCCTAAAACAATTCCACTTTCTATTAGAAAACCACTTTTACCCTTACCTTTTCATATCCTACATATCACATCATACTTTTTCCCTAATAATCAAACTATCACATCTTACTTTTACCCATCACATCAGGGGCAAAATTGGAAAGTCAACCAAAATTACACTTTTCTTATTTTTGCCAAAAGTCAAAAGTGGAAGGGTTTAAAGGAACGGAGGGAGTATTATATTATTTTGGTCCATTAGATTTAAAATATAAGAAATTTTTTATAAGAAATAAAAATATTATATTTAATTTGATACAAATGAAGTATATGTTTATTTTTTTAAATATTACAAAAAGGTTTTTAAAATAAGTTTAAAACATTTTTGAAAAAAGAGAAGAATAAAAGAAACAATAAAGAAGAAAAGAGAGGGGCGTTGGTGCCCATTTCCAACATCACAAGGGGCACCAGAGTTATTTACCGAAAATATGAAGGGTATTTTAGTCTAGAGAGGCATGGGCGTAAGAATATTAGAACCATGAGGGACAACAGTACGGCGTTATACCTTGTGTGGAAATTTTTTATATTTTCTTTGTTTGTTTTAGCATGATTTCTAAGTTAGGTTTTGATGAATGACAAATAATGTGTAACGAACTTGTCAAGTGACAATCAATACATTGAAACATGTGACAATAAATGAAGTAATTAAAGATGAAAAGGTGTGAAGCTTTGCCAAGCAAGCCTATGATTAAGAGTTTGTTCTTTAGATCTTAATCAATACATTTAAACATGTGACAATAAATGAAATAAAGATGAAAATGTCAGTACAGTTTTTTATTAAACTACCATTTTGTGACAGTATGAATCGTTAAAATGCAAGTATATTCTTTTGAAGTACAACTTGGGTACAATTCTTGGTGTACCTGCAGGATGGTTGAAAATATTTTTATGAAATCTAGGGAGTATGTTTTCTGAAGAAATTTAATTTGATGACGGAGTATTATTAAAGAACTACCCCGCAAAAGCTTAAATTAGGGCTGGGTTGGGAAAACCTAAAACCGAACCGAAACCGATCGAAACGAGCTAGAAAAAAATCGAACCAAAAAAACTGAAACCGAATGTAAAAAAACCGAACTGAACCGTTAGTGTTTGGTTCCGTTTTGGTTTTCACTTTGAAAACCCGAACCGAACAAACTAAAGTTTCTTAGATAGTTCGCTTTTTTATATAAATATATGTGATATGTAGAAAAATCATAGAAATATAAATGCA